ATGAACATTTATCCAAATGGAAATATTTCGTTCTATCTTTGGAACATCACTATTAATTAATAATGGATAAATGTTCTATAGCCCACGAGGCTATTGGAAAGGTAAAGATGCAATACAAAAACTAGCCACAGCGGCTACAGTATCTGAAGATGTTGCCAAGGATTGGTTAAAGAAAAATGGTATATGGCAAATATACTTGCCAGCCCTGCGATATATACCAAGGAAATGGTTTGATATGTTCATGACTAATGAAGTTCATCAGGCTTACCTTTTTTTATTTTTTCCACATGATGAGGTGTGAAATGTTGCCAAGGATTGGTTAAAGAAACAAGCTGCATTACAAATATACTTGCCCTGCCCCACGATATATACAGAGGATACAGATGATGCAAGGAGGCTGAGTCATTAACTTCAAAAGGGACCACTAACCACAAAAGATTCAAGTGAGGTAGCTATTGCACTGGGCCGCATACATAAACGGGAACACTAAACATGGCCAAAGGTATTCAAGTACATCCTAGATGTGAGTTTATGGGATCAGTGATTAAACTATTAAAAATCAGGCATGGCGATAAAGAGTCCCATCGTAGCCAAACTTTTGTTGAAAGATTTAACCAAAACTTAGCAGAAAGTGTCTTTCGATATCAGTATCGGATTGAAATAAAATCAAAACAATTAAGATCAACGGAATTGGTGACACATTTGTCAGCTGTTTTATCAACATTTGATATTGTAGTAACAAGAATAATTGGTAAGAAACCATCCGATGTTATTAAAATTAAATATGTGACTTCAGCACCATGGCGAGATAAAGAACAAAAACGTTCAGATAGAGTAAGTATAAGATAATTATACCAGCCCAGTGAACTTGAAGACCAAAGCCATGCAACTGATATGGTTTGGTCTCTTAAAATATGCAACATTAGACGATTGGTTATGAAAGAAGGCAAACCGTTTATATATTGTGTTAAATTTGTGTGAGAAGAGTGGCTCATAGTTCCTATCATAGGGATACAGTATTACCTTCTTGAGTAAACATACGCATAGTTTGTTATAGCATATTTATCAATCCATCTCTTTGTAGCTACCCTTACCCCAGATCACTAAGATATCCACATTTGAGATTACTGAGCTATCCCTACTCCATGGCCCACTTACACAAAGCGATCTGAGCGCTAAGATGATCGTAACTCTCATACTTGAAAAGTTGCTCATAGTTTGTAGGGATACAGTTTTACCTCCTTGAGTAAACATATCATATACATAGTTTGTTTTAGCATTTTTTGCATCTTTATCAATCCATCTCTTTGTATCTAAGGGGGATAATGATGTCTTGTTCATTCTTAATCCATATACCCCGTGCTTATCATGTTTTATATGTCTTTTTACGACATACTTCTTAATGCCTTTAGCTTTTCTTATCTCATTGTTATCAATTTTATACACATCATTGGTTTGTATTTCGATTAACAAAAGAATCGGATATAACGCCTCGCATCTGTCACCATAAGTTCAGTGTAACAGAAATCATACATTAAGTAATCTGACAAGCCAAAAAGCTTATACTGGTCTGTTGAATTTTATATTACTCTTCCCTTATATGTTATGCCGCTTAGTCATTATCATCTATTTTACTATTATTTTCCTTTCTTCCTCATTACATCTGACCAATTCAACATCAACATGCCTCCTTAGATTCTTCATAGTTTTACCAAATACTGAGTTATTCATGAGCTTTTACAGATTCTTTTCGAAATCACTGGTAGCCATCTTTCTCAAATCTGTGTTTCGTCTTATGTGGGGCTCCACCAAGGACGTCGATCAAAATTAAGAACTCTGCATATTTTCTTTAGTTTCATGCCTTATTATAGATAAAACTGGAGACGTTTATAGTGGAGTACATATTTCGTCTTATCAATCAAATTATGTACGATTTTCTCGACGTTAGCTAACTTCGTCTTACCTATCAAGTTATGTTGATATTCGGACATCCAATCTCTATTCATCATTACTCATTCAGGAGCTAGTGGGAAACTGTCCTGATGGTTATGTTGGATAAGTCATCTTCTTAGGGTGTTGTAGGTTTACTGGAATCATATCCTTCCACCAGTTTACCAATGACTCAAAGAAACTGAACCATAGCTACAAACAACAAGTGATTCTCTTCATTCAAGTATCGCGATTCAACTCGAGGTACGTTTACACATGTTTACTAGAAGAGTCCAATCGAGACACATTTAAACATTGAATACTTGATTATCTGAAAATGTCATCACTTTGCTTTGATAAATACAACAAGAAGCAAGAGTCGAGCAAGGATTGTAGAAATGTACATGTTTGAACGGACATGTTTGAGCTCTTGCTTGGTGTTGATGTTGTCATGTTGCACAGAGAACAATGGGGAGTCGGACACCTTGAAACTTGGGATGCAAGCGTAACATTTCAAAAGCGAGGAAATGTTTTTCCTGAATCTTGTCAATCACGTTAGTGTCAAAAGGGACATATAAACCGATGATATAAACAATCTTATTGGATTTATCAAAAAGGAAAAGATCAAGTTTGCTGGCTTTGTAGATTTGGTACCTCCCATTCTGCTCACTGACATTGGGAGGGGACCCATGTTTGCTGCCAGGAATAAAGCCTTTGTGACAATCTGGGTAAGTCAGAAGACTGCAGTGTTGGGGAGTTTTCACATTCTCCAAAAGGTTCTCGATGGGTTCGACTAGGCAGCGCTTGCTGGTAGCAGTCCCATTCGTTTTGTGGGATGTGTGAAGAGGGGGGAAGGGCCCTGAGCTGGTGATTGGCCTGACCAGCCTGACTCTGCTAGGATCACCCAAACCCTCTTACCTGCATTTTTTTAAATAGAACAGCCTCAGAGGTATGAAACAAACCTGATCTTGTCCTTTTGATAAATCCATTGAAATGATTTACATCATTGAATTTTCTGTCCCTTTTGACACGAATGTGATTTACGATATTCAGGAAAATCATCACCCAAACCCTATTTGCTGCATTTTATATTTTAATATGTACATGAAAAAAACAAAAACATTTGTAAAGGCCTGAGGAGTAACTTATAATATACGAGTGTGAACAATTCTGTAGTGTAATGTATCTCAAGCATTATAAACATATTTTACACAATTTACTTAAGGTTTACTCCAATGATCATACACTAATTTGGGATAGGATATTTAGGCACGAAATGTATGTACCTCCATAGGCACCATTTTTGTTCTACTCCGTGCTCATTTGTTTCGTTTTGAGTCGGAATTTCTTCAAGATCAAAACCAAGGAAGTCTTCCAAGAAGTTTCACTTCAGTTTCAGGTATATTGATGATTGATATCATTCTATCATGGTCACATGGTGATTTCCCTACCAGTGATTTAACCACCCGAGTGTCAGAAATATAATATCCTAAAGACTGCATCATGACACGGGTGACTTCAACTTTACAACACACAACATTCCCTTCATGTCGAGCATCATTGTATCAACTTAAGGTACAATTGAGAATGCTTTTTACTTCAAAGATTTCAAAGAGCACCATACAACCCTTAATCAAAAGGTGTGTGTGTGTGTGTGTGTGTGTGTGTGTGTGTGTGTGTGTGTGTATGTGTGTTTCTCCATCCCCCCCCCCCCCCTCTCTCTCTCTTAAAAATAATTTAAGGGGAAAAGGTTTATGACCAAGATTTAAGTTGTTAACCTCGTCAACTTAAATTTGTGTTTTCCACTTTCACCTTTTGCAAAGTGACAGTAAAGAATATTTCTGTTGTGTGTAGCACTTTCTGTAGAATCAACAGTTCCCGGAAATACATTCATTATGTATGGAACTGGCTGTCGTATTTCCGTGTGGTACATTAGTCATATTCTATCAGAAATTAAGTGACAGTGTCGTGATTCAGAACAATATATCTGCTCCTCTTTAAAAATTGACATAGTGGGGTAGATTAGTGGTTAAAGCGTTTGATGGAATATTGCTCCTTTATCTTAGACTTGATAATGATACCAAGTATCCCAATAATTTGTCCAGATCCCTGATGGTGAATAGTGACGTCATGTTTGTTTGTAAACATTGAAAGTAGTAACCGCCTGGCTTTATTTCAATATACATACGTAAATTACCCCAACCGTTGTTATCTTTATCCTACCGAGACATTATTCAAAGGTGCACGGTAACAAAGGCGCCTGTGGCTTCGTCATTCGCAGAGTAGAGTTTTTCCCGGAAACCTATATGATAGTAGGTTTGAATCCCAGTTTCGCCAACATCTAAGATTTCCTTACGAAGCTGACACGCCTTGATATAATCGAACTAATGTTCAGTTAGGAATAGAACCAATTCTCTATCACAAATTAATCTGAAACACAATTCAATGTATTTTATTGAACATACTGACACGTGTACAATGTACCTACTACAATCATAAATATAAGTCAGTCAGTGATAATCAGAATTGTTCTCCTGACAAGTCGTGATTGTACTTGATATCCTTTGACAGTTTCGCCCTGCAAAAATGTCAGACACCGCATGCCATCCTTCACTCCTTGCACAAAGCACTATAACAACACTAGATCATTGAATGTACGAAGACGTTTACAAATTACTTACATATGGCATACATTGTCTGTCAGTGACAACCGGTATTGTTCTCCAGGCGTGTGATAACCTCGCCACAAATGAGCGCCACAGACACTGCTCGATATCCTTTACTCTTTGCACAAAACCACGACTTACACTATGACATGCAATCATCAATATGTGTTTCTTGCTCGTGATAAAATGATCATTTCCAATTCTAAAACACAACAAATCGGTAACCATTTATGTCATAAATGGTGACATAAACCCCAAACGCAATAAAAGTATCCTGTTACTCTTTGATCACATACAACGATTGACAACAATATACATATAAAACAACATATAGTGTGGTGAACAACTGAGTCTCTGTTCATATTTCAGTTGCATCACGGCATTGTTGACTGTCTACAGCTGCACTTATTGCACTGGACAGCCCCGCGACACAAGAAGGTCATATGCTGCATCTTGTCTGTAACGCTTTGCTCTCATGGCTGCTGTAGACCCATCCTTGTCCCTGGCGTTAATGTCTACCATATTCTTCGAGAGGATATGCTTCACCATCTCCACATGTCCACGCAGAGAGGCCAGGTGAAGTATGTTGTAACCCATATCATCCACTGAGGAAACTTGACCACCTTTACTCGCAAGAAGATCAAACACTTTTCTATGTCCATTATACGCTGCTTTCATTAATGGTGTCCTTCCTGACGCTCCTCTACTGGTAATGTTCACCAGGTCCTGTGACAGGAGATGCTTTACCATCTTCGAATGTCCTCCTCTGCAGGCCCAGTGCAGGATGTTGTTGCCGTAAGCGTCTACCAGTGATATATTAGCTCCCATACATACTAGATAGTCAAATACGTGTATGTGCCCATAATATGCAGCCTTCATCAGGGGAGTTGATCCAGACCTTGCTCTACTGTTAATATCAACCCTGCATTGTGATAGTACATGCTTAACCATGCCCAGGTGTCCCCTTTCAGAGGCCAAATACAGGATATTGTTGCCGTAATAATCCACTTGTGATACATTAGCTCCTTTTCTATTTAGAAAGTCAGGTTTTCTTCTATGCCCCTTCAGTGCTGCTTCCTTCTTGTCCCTGCTGAAGACGTCGACCACATACCGGTGAAAGATGCGTCTCACTCGGCCCAGGTCCCCCTCCTTACAGGCATCGTGAAGTGAGTTGTTCTGTAAAGTGTCCTGCTTGTCAACTTTATGTTGAGGAGGTCTCTCGGGGTAGTTCTGCTTCCCATCTGCAGATGAGTATGCTGCAATGGGACGGTATAAAATGTCATCAATTTTTTTCCATCAGTTATTGCATTTAAGAAAATTCAAGAATATAAAAAGCTGTTTGATAATCATAGATTGTAGCTACAAGTGATATGTTACACACCTATAATGTAACGTAGATATATACGATGTGCCAACAAAAGAAATTTCTGTGTATGTATCTTCCTTAGAATCAGAAGAAAATACATTTATGTGCCTTTTTGTTTAACTGAACATGACAAGTACATGTTTCTGACTAGAAGTCAGTGCTGCTTATCTTAACAGTAAGTTAAACTACATTAAAGCCATTTACTCATTGACGTCACTTGGAGATCAACAAAAAGAGGAAACCATCCAAAATGTGACAATGTGCTGGAATGAATGGAAGTGTGAAGGGGATTACATTTGATTACATGTTTCTTTGAAAAATGGGTACTTCAACTGTATGCGTACCATAATGGGCTTGTTCTTGCCCCTTTACCTGGCAACTACTGCGTCATTGTATGCTGTATAAACTCCCCGCTACACTATCAAAAACTTTGATAAAAACATTATTCAAAGAAATCTTTGACCAAGTTTTCTTGGTCCTCAAAGTCATCCGGTCATCAAAGTTTTTGACAGGACGTCAAAGTTTTATCTTGCCAAGGTGGATGCTACTGACGAGGAATGTTTTGTTGTTGTCATATGTATTTTGTGTATTGCATGTTGAGAAGGCGGCGTCGGGTAATCAAAGGCAGATTTGGTCCCGAGAATGGCTGGTCGTTAGTGAAACGAATGAATTAATTTTTCCAACATCTCGTCAGTCCAAAAAAGTTGACACACTTTGACTTGACTTCCGGTTAAAAAGATGTAAATGTTCCTTGCAGTTTGGTTGGCTAAATTAAATCAACGTCATCAAACTTTGATCAAAGTTTGACGAGAACTAGGATCGGTTTCTATCCCATCAAAATCCTGTCAAAAACATTACAAAGTTTTTGACAGCATGTTATTTGACCAAGTTTTTGATCAAAGTGTTTGATAGTGTAACGAGGAGCTGAAGGCTGATATCTTAAAGAGGACATGACTTAGATTCGGATTATGCAAAACACATTGTCAGTGAACAGACTTATTTTAGATGTTATGTGAACATGTCACACCACATTCTACCATCGTCTCACATACAAGGTCAACATCAAGGGTCATGACCAAGAATGTCACTTAAGCGACGTAAATAGAATGTAGATTGAGTCTTCTCTAACCCAGGCGTCAGGAGAAAATGGGAGAAAGACCAGCCATTACCTTTTGCACAGACAGCTTTTCCAGATCGTGTCACCAAACATCGTAACCCGAGACTGCACGTCTTGGATGCACAGGCACCAGTCGGGACCTTCAAACAGGAGGACTAAATGAGAATACCTCTTTGGCTTATTGTGGAATTAATCGTGTGGGCTTATGTCAAATCTAATACATTGATTAAAATAGCAATATTTCACGTTGATATAGTTTCTTATTTGATGACAATTATTTGTCATATCAACGGAAGAGAACTTGTGGAGCAACTGCAATTATCCGACTGTACCTGTTACCTGTACACCCCACTGTTACCTGTGTCCCACTGCTTTCTGTACCCCACTGTTCCTCAATTCAATTGTGTTTAAGGGATCTCGATAATTTGAATAAAAACGACAAAACCCTTTCCATAATTATAAGAAATTTACACAATTTGCCAAATATTTTCTCCAATGTTTGTTTTGTTTGTTTGTTGTTTAACGCCGCTCTCAGCAATATTCTAGCTATATGACGGTGGTTTGTAAATAATCGAGTGTGGACCAGACAATCCAGTGACGATGACATGCATCAACTAAGTCAGCGAGCCTGACCACCCGATCCCGTTAGCACAGTCTCCTTTTACGGCAAGCATGGGTTGCTGAAGACCTATTCTATCCCGGATCTTCACGGGTCATCTTCTCCGATGACCATGCGCATAAATTATTAGGGGTATAATATTTAGGCAAGAAGCGGGCATCCCCATGGGCACTAATTGAACTCTCCTCCTTGCGGATCTGTTTCATTATGCATACGAGTCAGAAAGTCTCCTCGGAAATAATAATGTTTCATATTTAGGCCAATGCATAAAGGACCCCTGAAGATTCGGGTGAGAATCGGTCTTCAGCAACCCATTCTTGCCGTTAGGGCCCTTGTCGTAAGGGGCAACTATCGGGATCGGGTGGTCAGGCTCGCGGACTTAGCTGATGCATGTCATCCTATCCCAATTGCGCAGATCCTTGTTCACAGTGTCAATGAATGGATTGTCTGGTCCAGGTTCGATTATTTACAGACCGCTGTCATATAGCTGGAATATTTCTGTGTGCAGCGTCATACAATCAGGCAAACAGAAACAATGATTTCGGAGTGACTCAGTTATCAATAAGACTGTATGACAAGAGGAATGACATCAATTTCGCCAATGTCTTCATTCCCTTTATGTCATACTGTATTCCAGCAGCTTCAACGGGAGTAGTGAGGACCATACGTGAACATCTCCTACATTTGTTCTGTAATTGAGTCACAAGCTTTTAACATTTTCTATACTTTTATTTTTGTATTTACGCCTCTGTCGTTACAGTACATGTTTATTAAGTTTCAATAACAATTATTCTTCATAACCTACCTGTCGTGTAGCTTATCATATACTAACTGTGAAAAATCAACAGAGTGTACTCGATTCTCGATGGTAGAAACACATTTACCCAAATGACGTACAAATAACTTACATCTGAATGACTCCTTGGAAGACTTATGTATCCTTCCTTCTTCTTGATCTTCTTTGATTCATCTCTTGACAAACGGCAGGTTAAAGTTTCAATATTGTATTCAACATTCAAACATGCTCCGTCTTCAATACATTTAAGCTGGCACAACTTGATGCCAATGTTTCTGATAGTGACATACCCCTGCCTCAAAGTCTCAACCGTCTTAGGTCCACACTGCGTTGTGCTTGAAGTGGAAAATACAAACATCAGAATAACTGTTAATTCCAGGAGTAGCTTCACACAGCTTCTTAAATATCTTGGTATCATCTTGCAGTGTTCACAGTGGATCACCAGCTTTGTTGGGTGTTGTTGGGCGACTACCACGGGAGCAACAATGTATGGCGGCTACCACGAGGTAGACAGTGAAGACAAGACTATGGACACCAATGTCAGGAGACTACCACCAGATAGACAGTGACCCAAGTCTATGGACACCAATGTCTGGATATCACCAACAGGTAGCTATTGAACACAAGACTATAGATATGAACACCTCTATCTGTAGACAGTGAACACAAGGCTATGGACACCAATGTCATATGTCACTACCACTCAATCGATAAGCCAACTGAAACTAACATCCACAGATTATTACAAGGTGCACAGCAAACACAGCGAATACTGTCACTGACATCCGTAGACTACTCGTCGATTATTTGTTCCTAACTGTTCAACAGTCAAGGGACATCACGTGACATTACATGTCCGTGGTATGTTCCAGTACAAGAGATAAAAATATGGGCATAAATCCTTTTATCATTTCTGACACAGACAATAGAAAGTGTTTTACTTTGTGTGTTTTTTCACAAATATTGGTATCAATTGCCATACTTTTAAGTATTTACAGCGTCTATGTATTAATATACGTTAAACAGTAAACAGTAGATAGGCTATATCGCTTAGGATGTTCCAAGTGATGCACCACCGACGTCACAACCGGTCGCGTTCTGTTTTTAACCTGACGTCCTCCCAAAACGATAATTAAACATCGATCTCGGCTCCATCAGTTATTTGGTATGGCACAACCAATTCCCCTCTCATCAACTTAACCTCCAACCTGAACCTCAGGACCTTAGACCACTAGGCTACCCACATCTTAGTACACTCAGCTACCCGCACCTAAGATCACTGAGCTACCCACACATAAGAATACTGAGCTACCCATACCTCAGATGACTGAGCTACCCTCACCTTAGGCCACTGAGCTACCCATAGCTTAGACCACTGAGCTACCCATAGCTTAGGCCACTGAGCTACCCTTACTCCAGATCACTAAGATATCCACATTTGAGATTACTGAGCTATCCTTACTCCATGGCCCACTTTCACAAAGCGATCTAAGCGCTAAGATGATCGTAATTCCCATACTTGAAAATTTGCTCATATTTTCTAGGGGTACAGTATTACCTCCTTCAGTAAACATACGTATAGTTTGTTTTAGCATTTTTAGCATCTTTATCAATCCATCTCTTTGTATCTAAGGAGGATAATGCTGTCTTGTTCATTCTTAGTCCATATATCCTGTGCTTATCACTTCTTAAAGTATTCACCTCATGTTTGAATGTTCTACCCTTGAATAATTCCTCTCTATGCTGTTCATGTTTTATATGTCTTTTTTACGACATAGCCTCTAGCTTTTCTTATCTCGTTGTTATCAACTTCTTTATAGATAAATCTTCAGTCTTATTCCAACATACTACGCAACAGGAGTTCCAGAACTATCATCCTTCATCTTATAAGTTTTATGTATTGTGGTGTTAAGATAATGAGTTATCTTTTGAGTAATCTTTTGTATCATACTTTTCTGCCATAATTTTATACACATCATCGGTTTGTAGAATCGGATATAACGCCTCGCATCTGTCACCATAAGTTCAATGTAATAGAAATCATACATTAAGTAATTTGACAAATCAAGAATACTAATACCAGCTTATACTGGTCTGTTGAATTTTATATTACTCTTCCCTTATATGTTATGCCGCTTAGTCATTATGAACTATTTTACTATTAGTTTCCTGAGACTTTCGTCCTCATTAGATCTGACCAATTCAACATCAACACGCCTCCTTAGATTCTTCATAGTTTTACCAAATACTTCAAGTTATTCATGAGCTTTTACAGATTCTTTTCGAAATCACTGGTAGCCATCTTTCTTAAATCAGTGTTTCATCTTATATAGGGCTCTACCAAGGACTTTCCTCAAA